CATCTAGAACATGTCTACTCTGGGTGGTGTATACAAAAAACAAAAATGCAGATATAATAATTGAAAACATAAACACGTTAAAATACACATTATCATTTGGTTCTCATCATTTGCAGTCAGTAGATAAGAGTAGGATGACAGTGTCATTTTTAGAACAATACAGGGAAACTGGAAATTGAGTCATGGAAACTGGACTTGTTTCCACCATGAGTCAACTTCCAGATAATCTCACCTGGATGACTGAGAATCTTCATAGATAAAATACAGGGAAACCTTATAGGAAAGCCAGGCTGCTTAGACAGTCTCTCTCTCTCTCTCTCTCTCTCTCTCTCTCTCTCACACACACACACACACACACACACACACACACACACACAGAGAGAGAGAGAGAGAGAGAGAGAGAGAGAGAGAGAGAGAGAGAGAGAGAGAGAGAGAGAGAGAGACAGGGAGGTGCTGAACAGATGACAGCCCTATGCTGCAGGACTAAAAGAAAGATTGGAGAAGTTACTCTTCCCCCCCCTTATAATACAACTCCCAGATTCCCACTATCAGTATGCCCACTGACCACAAAGCTGTTACAAGTGCATCCAGTGTACCACGACAGTTGATAGCCTTAACTTTGAGAATTGTGTCTGCTTCTTTTCTATTTTTTTAATGCATCTGTAATAAGCAGTTTATATTGGGGGGAAAGCATAAAAGAATCTTGTGGCACCTTAAAATCTAATGGGTAACAATATATGTTAATGGTATAAGGCTCTGCAAGGGGTTTCTGGTTTTGTTTTTCCAGCAGGGTAACATGGACAGCCTTCCTCCACCCCAGAAACCCTTTGCAATAATGTTCCACTAAGTGTTAATGCATCATCCATGCTTGGCTCCCTCTGTATACTTCTGTGCAAATTACTCCTGCATACTTGAACAGAAGGCCCTTTGATATCATATTAAGTAATATCTGGTTTGGGAATAGTTGTAAAATGTATAACCCGCTAACATGGGCTTGCGTTAGAATGTCTAACAACTATTCCTGTATCTACCCAGTAATTCTGTTGCTTGTAGCCATGTGTTCATAGGATGGCTTAGAAAATAAGGGCAATAGCCTATTCAGCTTTTACTCATTGGAAAGTTCCACCCTTGTAGTAACATGAGATTGTTCTGCATGTGCAAGCATTACCATTGCACAAATGGTGGTTTCCATGGAGAAAACCCACTCTACATTATTACACAATAGCAATGCTTGCACGAACAACACACAATCTCACATTAATGTGCTGAGGGGAGCTTTTACTCAGTGGAAGATTTAATGGTCAATGTATCACAGTTGTAGGTTAGTGTATAGAGTACTGTTTAACACTGGAAAAGTTGTTCCAAATATTAATAGTTCTTTTTATGCTTCAATGGTGCAAACTCCTAATAGCTTCCTAGGCTTTTCCTGCTAGTAAATTGCAAAGAGTATGAATAAAGACATACATTAGCCAACATCACATCTCTTCAACATAAAGCAAAGCAAAAAGCAAAGCGTGCTGCTTATATACCGCCCCATAGCGCTTCAAGCACTCTCTGGGCAGTTTACAAGTTAATTATGCAGGCTACACATTGCCCCCCCCCAGCTGGGGGGTACTCATTTTTCTGACCTCGGAAGGATAGAAGGCTGAGTCAACCTTGAGCCGGCTACCTGGGATTGAACCCCAGGTCGTGCGCACAGTTTTGGCTGCAGTACAGCGGTTTAACCACTGCGCCACGAGGAATAAGAGCTTAGTTGTTAGAATACCGTATATGTAAATCTATATATGTTGTTTTTGAAAATTCTCCTGCTCTTTCTGAGCTCTAGCTTATCATATGATCAATAGAAACAGTGTTCCTACATACTACATCTCTGTTTGAAGCTGACAATTCTTTGAAGGCTGCTTGAGGAATGCCAGATTTTCTTGTCTTCAGTTTTGCCTCCAACAGCTGATCAGTATGGATAAGCAGCTGTCTTTGTGAACTCACTGTGGGTGGGGAAATGAGTCCAAGAGTTTAATTTTTTTCAGCTTCAGAACATTTTCAATCTCCTATCTGCAAACCTGCATGGTAGAACTTTCTTCTTTCATTTTTACCTTTTCAGCTATTTTGAGAGTCACTGTGGCAGCAGGAGGCAAAAAATGAAAGAAGCTGTCAGGGAAAGGTCTCATGCAGCATTTCCTAGATGGCCCGACAGTGATATGTCACGATGAAAGAGCCACAGTTGGTCTTGGAGTTCAACAGGACATTCGGACAGACAGATTGTGTCTGGCTTTCAAAAAAAAATATGTGTACAAACTGTACCTGTACATAGAGATGTTTAGTTTCCATACACATTTATGATAGCCTTTTCATTAAAAAAAAGTAGGGGGAACCAAGATTACAATCATTTTAATGAGATTTTCTGTCCTGAACCCTGCCACCTCAAGCATTTGAGAAGTTGTAATCCAGGATTTATCCAAGTTTTTACTCAGTCCCACCTACCTTAAATAAGCCCTGTAACAGAACTATTATTACCAAGTAGTTATTTTATAATTTCTGCCAACTCAAAGCAAATGGGTACAGTGTTTGTTTTTAAATTGCTGCGACTTTAGTGTCTATTTGAAACCACATTATAAGAAACCTAAGAGAGGTTGATAGACACAAATATACACACGTGTACGTATGCATACACATATATGCAAACACATGCAGATGCACGCACAAAATTGAATATACTGTGGAAATATGCACACTGCAGCTTCTGTGATACTAGCTTAGTAGTCTTCTTAGCTTGCACCAGGACAGACCTGTGTTAACCACCATAAATAAGTTATGCCGTCAGCTTGTCCAGGTCCCATAGCAGTTCCCCATGGATGTTCTCTTTGCTATAATGAACCAAACAAGCAGAAGTACCCAGACACTTGGACCAAGAAGATTTGGAAGCAGTGTATCATAGTCTTTGCCCAATTTGAGAGAATGGACTTGAATAAATCTTCCATACAAACCTTGTAGCAGTTATGAATCGATGCCTGAATTATAATTGTATATTCTTGTACAAGAGCAGTGTCATTTGTCTGGTCTAATAAAGTAGGAAAATTAAATAAGGATATAAAGACATTGCTGGAATCCTAACAATTTTAGCAAATCACATCCATAACTAGTTTAAGACATGACATACTCTTAGATATGAGGGATGAGAAAAAATTAATCGGGCTTGCTTTTTAATTCGAATTATCCCAATTTGCAGTTCCACAACCAGACAATATAGCTACACAATACACATTCCAGAATGCAGTTATCCCTTGGGTTCTGGGCTTCTCTTAAATGTGAGGTGCAGTTCTGTGCCAGGCTACTTTCCAGATTTTTATCTGTTCATTCCAAAGATCTATAAAGGGCTCTGTAAATGTGCTCAGATGAAGGCAGTTGGAAAGCTCTCATGGTCAGAAACCCTGATAAACCATCACAGTTACAAAATTTCTTTAAGATTTTTGTGAAGCATCTGACTGTGCAGAAAGAAAGGGAGTTGGTCTTGTGTACCTGCTATTCTCCACTGCCTATTTTTGTTCTACCTATGTACTGGCAAATAACACAGGACATTATTATGACCTGTATGCAAGTAGACTGATACTATATTGCTGTACTCTAGAGTTACTGGACATTGGCTAGGATGCAGTTACTGTGTTTCCCCAAAAGTAAGACAGGGTCTTATATTAATTTTTACTCCAAAAACACACATTAGGGCTTATTTTCCGGGGATGTTTTATTTTTGTTCATGTACAACATATCGTCGTTTAGTCGTTCAGTCATGTCCGACTCTTCGTGACCCCATGGACCAGAGCACGCCAGGCCCTCCTATCCTCCACTGCCTCCCAGAGTTGTGTCAAATTCATGTTGGTTGTTTCTATGACACTGTCTAACCATCTCATCCTCTGTTGTCCCCTTCTCCTCTTGCCCTCACACTTTGCTAACATCAGGGTCTTTTCCAGGGAGTCTTTTCTCATGAGATGGCCAAAGTATTGGAGCCTCAGCTTCAGGATCTGTCCATATCCAATTCTAACTGTTGCTTCCTGTCCTGAGTATAGGTTTCTCAGGAGATAGATAAGGTGGTGAGGCACTCCCATTTCTTTAAGGACTTGCCATAGTTTGTTGTGGTCCACACAGTCTAAGGCTTTTGCATAGTCGATGAAACAGATGTAGATATTTTTCTGGAACTCTCTGGCTTTCTCTATAATCCAGCGCATGTTAGCAATTTGGTCTCTAGTTCCTCTGCCAACAAATGTACAACAATATATGTTTATTCAAATACAGTTTTGTTATCTTCTTCTAGCTGCTGCACAATGGTGGAGGACAGGGTTTCACTTAATTGGGGCTCATTTTTGGGGTAGGGCTTATGTTACGAGCATCCTGAAAAATCATACTAGGGCTTATTTTCATTTTAGGTCTTATTTTTGGGAAAACATATGGTCTGTCCAATCCTGCTGCTTCCACCAGAACATGCAGTCTGTCCTTCCTGCAAGTCCCACGTGGGTGCTAAGAATCGTGCTCTGGAAGGCTTGGAGACTCTCTCTGACAGTCTTCGGTGCCACAAAGGGATGCAGGAAGAACTGAAGGAAATCCAGATTCTGCAGGGCACACCACGGGATCTCAGGCTATAATTATTATAGCAGAATATGAAACCATATATCCACTTAGAATACAGTAAACATACAGAGGATGCCTTAACAAAGGAGGATATTTTTGTTGATTTTAGATATAAATTGACCCTGCATTTTGCCATGATACAGTGAGGGAAAAAGCAGAGTGGTTAAACATGAGCAGCAGAGGATGCAGCCTTGATTCACAGCAGTTCCACTGACTTTTAATTTACTTTACTGTTAATTATAGCTACAATAATTACTAAAATGTGTGGTGGATGAGTGCCTAGTGGGTGCTTGTTTCTAAATGGCTTTTACATATGGAAGAAACATTCTGTAATAAAATTATAGTTTTTCATTATTTTGTTAGGGATTTAACCAGACTTTAAGAAACAGCCTTTAGAAGCCTGTTATTCTACGAGTGTTCTAATGAGTCATTCTGCATTATTTCCCTAAATACTAATCATACTTTTTCCTTCCTCCCCTACCAGTATCACTTCAATCCTTCCCAGTCAGTACTTGTTATAGAAGGAGATGACATTGGAAATATAAATCAAGCTCTCCAGAAGGTCTCCTATATTAACTCCAGGCAGTTTCCAACCTCAGGCATCCGCCGTCTTAAAGTCTCATCCAGAGTCCAGTAAGTTCAAGTTGTTAAGCTTGATTGAACTAGCAATATGTGATGAATCATGAATCAAGAACCTTACATTTGAATATCTAATAATGGCATACAAATAAAATGAAACAAAATATGGTCTTTAATGAATTAGCCAAGAGATTTAAGAATTACATATATTTTCATAATGGGATGATTTCAGTGATAGAGTAGTTTCTAATTCATGCACGCCCATTGGCTTCAGATAGAGTTCTGGATATGTGTGAAATGGCCTCCTGATGCGTTCAGTATAAAATGGATGATTAGAATCTTGATGCACATTTAACAAGATAGCTATATCTAACCCATTAAGCATCAATTTGAGTGCTAATGTAAAATGCAGAACAATTAGAAGCCATCTAATCAGGTTTAACCACTGATGGTTTGTGTGATATGTTAGTTAAGAGTTTAAATGGTATGTATGCATTGACCTTTCTGAAGATCATGCCTGCCAATGATATGCTCTACTACTTTTAAATAATTTGAAAACGTGTGCTTCTACTGTTCATAAGGGTTTCATTGATTCCATAGCTGGTCAGACATAAAAAGGGCATATTGTATATAGAGATCATGCACCTACTACGTGTATCTACTACATAGCTGGTCAGACATAAAAAGGGCATATATAGAGATCATGCACCTACTGTGTGTATCTACTGCATGGTTTGTGTTTCTTTAGATTGTGTGCTTCTTTGCAAAGGAACAATGTGCACTGCAAACCTCTTCCATGAAGTTAATGAAAAATATATTTTTCAGATGTTTTGGTGAAGATATCTGCATTAGTATCCCAGATATAGATGCCTATGTAATGGTGTTTCAGGCCAAGGAGCCCAAGATTACAATAAGTGGAATGGATCATTTTGCAAGACCAGCTGTACAGTTTGAACATGAAAATGGTGTGACTCTTTTACCAGATATCAAAATCGTCAGCACAGTCACTAAAATGGAACATCCTCCTGATCTAAAGGAAATGATGGATAGAGGTTTGTACTTTTATTTTCAGATGGGGATTCTGGTGATGGCAGAAACTAAATACCCTTTGCATTCGGATCAAATGCAAACATATTTTATAAATTCTTACCTTCAAATTATTATGTTGATTACTTTCAGGTAAATGCTTCAAAACCAACAGGCTCAGTACAGGTGGAAGGATGAAAAGAGAGAATAAACAACCATGGGAAGTAGTCTGAACCAACCAGGCTTAAGGAAATATGTGAAAGGGGGCCATCCATGGGGGTCCAATGTTTTCATTTTACTTACTTACTCACTGACTGACTCACTCACTCATTGATATTTTAACCCTGCCTTTCTCATTAAAAAGGACCCAAGGCAGCTTACATCATTGAAATACAATATTTAAAGCTATGAACAATGATTATAAAAAGGCAGCTTACATTAAATACAACATGAAAGCTTTGTTTGTGCACGCCAGGCCCTCCTATCTTCCACCGCCTCCCGGAGTTGTGTCAAATTCATGTTGGTTGCTTCGATGACACTGTCCAACCATCTCATCCTCGGTCGTCCCCTTCTCCTCTTGCCTTCACACTTTCCCAACATCAAAGTCTTTTCCAAGGAGTCTTCTCTTCTCATGAAAGCTAAAAACTATAAATATACAAATATTAAAAAGGAACAAACAAATACATTCTGAGTAATGGTAAACATAAGCAGTACTAAAAACACAGTCAAAGTATCAATGCATAACAGTCAAGATTCCCTCTAAGACACATGGCTGAATGCATGACTCCATCTCCCTCCATGCAGCTATCCTCCTCCAGACAGAAATCTTTCAGCTCCTTTGGTTCCAATTGCAACAGAACCCTGCATGCAGAGTCACACGTGAGACAGAGGCCAAGATCTGTCCAGTGGGGCTGAAAAGTAGAAGGTACAATGATAATAGTCCATCTAAAAATCCCACTTGGGTAACCAGTCACTGAAAGCTTGCCTTGAAGAGAAAGGTTCATCTCAAAAGTGATGAAAGTAAAAATACCTTGCCCATCTGAAATGAATGGCAGAAATGAATGTTTCTGGCCTTCACCATAGTGAGTTGCAGAATCCATGTGAATGGTTAGGTTGATTTAATTAAACAGTCATGAGAAGTTAGTATAGAATCATAGAAATCATAGAAAAGTGAAGTTCGAAAGGGCCTACAAGGCCATCAAGTCCAACTCCCTGCTCAATGCAGGGATACAATCAAAGCATATCTCCCAGGTGATTATCTAAGTTTTTCTTGAATGCCTCCAGTGTTGGAGCACTCACCAACTCCCAAGGTAACTGGTTCCACTGTCGTACTGCTCTAACAGTTAGGGAGATTTTCCTGATATTCAACCGAAATCTGGCTTCCTTTAACTTGAGCCCATTGTTGCATGTCCTGCATTCTGGGATTATTGAGAACAGATCTTGCCCCTCCTCTGTATGACAGCCTTTCAGATGTTTGAAAAGTGCTATCATATCACCCCTCAGTTATCTTTTCTCAAGGCTAAACATGCTCAATTGTTTCAGCCTTTCCTCATAGGGCTTGATTTCCAGCCCCCTGATCATCCTTTTCACCTTCCTCTAAACTTGTTCCAATTTGTTAGCATCCTTCTTGAAGTGTGGTGTCCAGAACTGGACACAATGCTCAAGGTGAGGCCTAACCAGTGCTGAATAGAGGGGGACTAGCACCTCACAGGATTTGGAAACTATATTAATGCAACCTAAATTAATCATGCATAAATTGAGTTATGATCTATAATTTACTCATGTCTGGCCTACCTTTCTTTATGAAAAGAGTTTGGAAGAGTAAGGTGATCAGAAATATATATATATATACTTTATTTTTACGGCATCAAGCCATACAAAATTGAATATAAAACTTCAAAGACTGGCATGCACTACAAAGTCATACAAAAGGTAAAATATCTAAAACAGCAAATATAGCAATGTAAGGCCAAGGTCTAAGGGTTTAGCTGTCTAGTCTGTCTGCTGTAGCATGCCGCCCAAAATTTCGCTACCAGTTCTGTAGTAGTCCGATTTTGGTTGGTTAACAATTTATTACAGTAGTCCGAATCCGATTGGCCTGCGATATCTTTTAAGAGTGGTGTAATATATTTTCCTCGGATCTTATTATGCCTGTTACACCTGAGCATCATGTGCTCGATAGATTCTATCTCACCAGAGCCAAAAGGGCAGAATCTCTGTTCCCTCGGGATTTTCTTAAATCTGCCTTCCAGCACTGCAGAAATATAAGAGCTATGAAAAGATGTCTTTTTCACTTTTACCTGCATTTGAAAATTTAACCTTAAGTTCTTTCTATCTTGGATAGATGATCAACAAATTTTAGCAAATTCTTTGAAAACAAACTGAAATGAAAAATTTTATGTATCTGCGCTTTATTCGCATTGGGTGGTTGTGGTGGTGGAAGTGGTGTTCTCGTTGTTGTTGTTTTTATGTCCCATCAAGTCATCTCTGGCTTATGATGATCCTGGAAGACAGGAGGGCCTGGCGTGCTCTGGTCCATGGGGTCACGAAGAGTTGGACACAACTTAATGACTAAACAACAACAAAATGAATGACTGATCTTCAAAATGTTTTGTTGTTAACTCCCTGTTCAGCTCTTGCAAACTCAAGCCTGTGGCTTCCTTTAGAGATTAAATCCATCTCATGTTTAGCCTTCTCCTTTTCCTGTTGCCTTCAACCTTTCCCAACATTATTGTCTTTTCCAGAGAATCCTGTTTTTCTATTATGTGCCCAAAGTAGGACAGCCTCAGTTTCAATGTTTTGCCTCCAGAGATAGTTCAGGCTTGATTTGCTCTAGGACCCACTTGTTTGTCTTTGTAGCAGTCCAGTGTATCCACAATGATCTCCTTCAGCACCACATTTCAAAAGAATCTCTCTTTTTTCCTGACAGCTTTCTTTACTACCTATCTTTCATACCTGTACGTGATGATTAGAAATAAAAGAGTATAGATTATCTTGGTCTTGGTCTCCAGTGATACATCCTACACTTGACAGTCTTTTCTAGTTTCTTCATTGCTGCCCTTCCTAGTCTCAGTCTTCTAATTTCTTGGCTGTACTCTCCATTTGAAATGATGGTTACATTTGTTGGTGGTCCCATTTGTTAGTTAGATATATTTCCAGCATGGAGGAGCCTACACTGTATAACTGACTGCCAATAAAGTTTAGAAAATCTCAGATATACAATGTAGCACCTGATTGCACATTAATATGGTTGAATACACAGGAGTAGAAACCTATGCTTGTGTAAGACTTCAATACAAGCCCCAGACCTGGAACAGACAAATCTATTTTTATTTCTCCCACATTAGAATTGTTTTATTCTTCATTTTTTCCATGAATATGAAGAAATGTGTGGATTGATAAAGGTTCAGGCTACCTGAAAGACTCTATCTCCCCATATGAGCTTTCTCAGCATTTAAGATAATCAGAAGAGATTATCTTCTCAATCCCATTGCCAGCGCAGGCACAGCTGATGGGAGACACAAGAGAGGACCTTCTCTGTGGCAGCTCCCAGACTGTGGAATGCCCTCAGGAGACCAGGCTGGTTCCTTCCATTTTATCTTTCCACCAACAGCTCAAGACACATCTCTTCAAGCTGACTTTTTTAACATTCATAGCTGAATCCCTGAATGCCTTTTTAAAGTTAAGATAGTTTTAAATGTTTACTTGCTCTTAATTATTCAATTGTATTTAATTATCATACAGTTTAATTATTTTGTTAATATTTAACTTATGTTTTTAATGCTATTCTTTTTAATATGGTGAGCCTTCTTGGATCCCCTAATGAGGAGAAAGGTGGTCTACCAAACAAATAAATATATAAATAAATAATATTGAAAAGTTTTATAAAAATCTAGCTCATACTTTATTCCTGGCCATGTTAAAAGTAATGTGAATAAATAATTAAATAAACTCAGATTTGCAGGTCTATATGTGTTAACTTGGAACATGCCCTACTGGATTCACTGAAGCATGCCTCCAAGCAAATAGGCAGAGGATTAAATTGCATTTCATTATTCTTGGTCCAGTAGTCATTTTGCAGTGTATAACAGAGTGATAAGGAACAGCTACAACAGACCTGTTCCAAATTAATCATGACAAATTATTCACATTTTAACATCTTCCCCTTCCTTCTCCCCAGCCCCTTTTCCTCTGGTTTATGCAGAATATTGAATGAAAAAGATGTAATCATAGGCGTCAAATTGTATCACATACTACTTTTCAATCTCTGACATCTACAATGTTTTAGTTACAAGAATTAGGGAGTGAAAGACTTTCATGTCTCTAAATGATTAGCTGCCCCAATACGATGAAATAAATGGTCTAGACAAGAAAAAATATTGCATAGTTTAAATGAAAATGACATCTATAAAAATAAGAGCAACAGATCACTGAATTTACCCACTTCCCTCATTCCTAGTATGCATTGATGAATGCTAAAATAAAAATTAGGTAAGTCTTACTGGGATTTAATTGCATCTTGTTCGACTTCATCTAATATGTTATTGACCCCAGAAAGTGATTCGGCACATGACCAATTTCAGACAACTTCAGTGACAAGCTAAAATGAAGCTAGATATCACCAATATATTGGTGGCATCTCCCTCCAATCATTTTGTAAACTCGTAAAGACCCCTACAGAATTTCACAGTTCTAATGCCAAAGCAAAAAACAAAGTGCTACTTTCAGAAGCTGAGCAGGAGCAGAACAATCATACTTTTATATCTTGATGTCAAGTCCACAGTGTTCAGTAAAATACCATGGCCAGCCAATAGTATTGAAAACTGTTAAAAGTTCAAGGAGTGTCATTATGGTTTTGTATCAGAGTTGTTTCACTATGAAAACCAGCCCACAGTTGGACTGATACTCTTTCAGACCAATTTCAATTTCTTTGAAAAAGAGCTGCAAAGAAATTGAAATGTTCAATAGTGAGAGACACTAAAATATCTTTAATTCTAATTAGTTATAGCCTTAAATTGTCTTCTTTCCAGTGCCTAGGAAAAATGTTTAATCTGATGTGCATATAAAAAGCATATGGTAGCAATATATCGCCTATTTTTAATATTATAAGTGGCACATGCAGCTGTAGTATAGTGTAAGCTTGTATGCCCTGTGTTGTTATTAATTATACATAGAAATGAGTGGATAAAAAATGCTGCAATAGATGTTGAAAACTAATTCTTTTTTGTGTGCACAACATTGAATGATGTTATTTTTCAGTACTTGTTTTCGTTAAAACTACTTTCATTTCTCAATCAAAAAAGAAATGCATTAATGCATTAATAAAAACAAAAATTAAATTGAGGTAGTTTTGCTTTATATAATTTTTAAATATCATAATGACAACTGAGTAAGACACCTCAGTGTGCAGAGAAATATTGGAAAAATCTCATGTGCTAAACAAGATAAATTTAGAAAATTCTTGTAAAAACACGCAACATCCGTAATGAATGTACATTGAATACTATGTTTAATTGTTTGTCCAAGTTTGTAATTCTTGTTGGCAGATCTTTGAGTATTATGGTTGATATTATTTTTTTTTAAATTAAATCAGTGATTTATTTTCAGGGACCATATAAAAAGCTAGAAAAACCAAAATACATCTCTGCTAATATTTCCAGGACCACTTTTGTTTAAAGTGAAGTCATCAAAGCCAGATTAATCGTTTACAGCTTCTACAGAGAACCCTGGGAAGAGATTTTCCCTTTCTGGATTCATTATATGCAAATTAACAGCTTTCCTCAGCAGCCAGATCTCATGCAGCACCTGTGCAGTATAACTCCTTCACTGCCAGCAGTATCTGGCACTGACTGAGATGTTATGAACTCAACAGCACTGACTTTCAATCTGCATTGCATTTCAGAAACAGATTCCTCTTACAGGGCTTTAAAATGTAATGTCTGGACCACAATAAATACCATAGAGAAAGGCTTTCCAGTAACCTATTGTGTGGCCATCACAGTCTAAAAAAGACCATAATAACTGGAGAAAGGAATTTCCACCATAGATTTTTTTACAAAACTGTCCCAAGAGAAAGAGAGTTAAAGTCAATTTTCCAGCCACTTGATGCCAAACGAAGCAGAGAATTAAATATGAAATTTGCATAGCTGTTCTTCTGTGACAAGATAGTCGTTATCTTCCATGGTGAAGAATAAATGTTCATCTTACATTTTTTCAAGCATGCTGTAAATGGTCATGTAGTTTCATACACAGATACTAACAGCTTTTTCCTCCTCCAAGATGTGTATACACTTCTTTCATGGTTAAGATTCAAATTTCTGATTTCCAGATCCTCACTAGGAACATATTTTCAAATGTGCTGTATAATTATGTTATCATTTAATGATTCTCTGAGACAAATTATTGATGTCATTGTTGTTAAGGCATTTCTGCAGGTATCAAAAATGTGGCATACAACAGTTCAAATAACTGGCTTCTTTTTCTCTCCTCAGTCCACAAGCCACTTATGTTAGAAGAAATGCACCACAATTTGGATTTTTGTGACATTTTGGTAATTGGGGCTGAACTGGATCCTACACAAGAATGTTTGGAATTAGATCGTAAGGAACTTCAGGGAAAACACTTAGATGCTACAAACTCAACAGCAGGCTATTCAATATATGGTATGATTAATTCTTGGTTTTATTCTTTCATTCCAGTATGTTAACTTGAAAAGTAAAAAAGCAAGACTGTGCTCTGAGAGCAAATCCTAAATGTTTAACCCTCATACACCAACACTAGACAGTGTCTCACAATCAAATTTGTACAAAGGTAGCCTTACAAGATATGTTTTCTACAACATTGTCAACTGAACAGTTGTAAACAATATCCCTGAGTTACAGCTCCTTTGCCACATAAAAATATTGCTGTTGTTGCTTTGGTATGTTTGCTTGGACTGGGGGCCCTTTTGAAAGAGCCATCCCTTAAGGAGATAAGAGGGAGGGCTTGTAGAGAAAGGGCCTTTTCGGCAGCTGCCCCTAGACTATGGAATGCCCTCCTGACTGAGATTCGTCTGGCGCCGACGCTGATGACATTTCGGCGCCAGGTCAAAACCTTCCTGTTCCAAATGGCTTTTAACTTAAATAACATCAAATGTGGGTCTGATGGAAACTTTTAGAATATATATTTTAATTGCATTTTAATTATTTTCCCCTTTTATTTTGCCTTTTTATTGTATTTTAAATGCTGTAAGCCGCCCAGAGAACTTCGGGTAGTGTGGGCGGCATATAAGTTAAATAAATAAATAAATAAATAAATGAATGAATGAATGAATGAATGAATGAATGAATGAATGAATGAAATAGCTACAACAAAAATTGTTCCACTAGACCTATTACTTCCTACCATTGTGCTATACTGGGACAAAATATGTTTCATTTGATTTTTTTGATTTTTGGGGGGGGGCTAAGAAGCAGAAGTGTTATTGGGGTGAACTCATTTGGGGACAGGATTTGGAATTCTCGGAGAGTTAAAAAATGCAATCATATTCAAACCCAAATGACAACCCTAATCATAATGCAATACATGAGAATTCTCACAGGGCCAGAAAATACTTAGAACTGACTTGCAAATTTATTTCTTGTTCTCTTTGTTTCTTTTTTTCATCTTGAATGAAGGCTAGGGACAGAGTAGAACTCATTAATGGGGCACTTAGGAAGGAATGGTACATGAGAGAGCCCTAAATCCACTGTATAATATAAATTCACTGGAATCTGTGTGGAAAGAACATTCTGCCTTCTGTGGAATCTAAATATTTTTGTGGGACAAGTACAATAAGTGGTATAATAAATCTAATGGAATCATGAACAAACTGTTGGACTAGGATTCAGGAGACCCGGGTTCAAGTCCCAACTTGACTGAGGAAACTTATTGGAGGGTTCCATTCAAACCAGTCATTGAATTTCACATATGCCTCAAAAACTATACTAGAGTTGCCATAAGTCAGAAGTGACCTTATGGCACAGAAGAGCAATAAGAGTTAAATAACTGCCCAAATATATGGGCCAAAATGTTATGGGGTTCTGCCGTGCACAGAAGGACAATTGGGTAAGTGGTTGTCATGTTCTACTAGCTGTCCGATGTGCACCCAGTGACATGAAAAATTGCACAACCAGAGCACGGCCAAGTACATGATAGACAGCCAGAAAAATAACTAGCATACAGTGTTTGTATGATTTACTTTCTGTGATCATGCACCCCAACAGTATTTATGGTCACAGAGAAGAAAATATAGGTACTGTTGTGCACACCTGGAGGGACAAACATCAGTATTAAATGATGCTTGTGTAACTCTTACTGAATTATCATTGGTGATACTGTCTCTGTTTATTCCAGTTATAGTTTCCAACCAAATACATATGTTTCCAACCAAATACATACATTGTCTTCACTTGTGCTGCTCTGAAACACAAGGTTCTAATGTCATATTTTAAAGTTTTACTTGTTAAATTAATAATTTATCATAAGTCCATGATCTTTTTTTTCATTCATGTCCTTTCCACTGAGCCTTTTCTTCATACTGTATAATTGCCATAGGTGTGGACACCATGAAAAACTACGAGCAGGTCTTGCGAGAGGTCCGCTATCGTAATTGGCATACATCTTCCATCTTTGACAGAAAATTTAGAATCAAATGTTCAGAGCTAAATGGGCGTTATACCAGTAATGAATTTAATTTAGAGGTAAGTTATTTATAAAAAATATTTGTCAACAGTTATTTCCACATTCAAAAAGGAGTTCCCTTCATATGGTCCAATTCTTCTTAACCCACTGAGCAAAATTAATATATTCAGTCTCTCATCTATTCATGTGCATGTTAATATCCACTGATGCTTGTGGGATAGTTATTTATACAATGAGATGATTTAGAATAGTAAAATTATATATACATAAAGGCATAGATGGGCTGGTCCAATTGTGGCACTTCTGTACAACATAGTGACCATACTTCTAGAGCCTGTGCCCTAACACCATTGGCTGCATAGGAATGCACAAAGCTGCATATATTACACTCTATTCTTTTTTTAAAAAAATATTTAAAATATTTTTATATCCAGACACAGAATCCCTTTGCAGATACAGATTCCTGTTTGGCCACGAAGGAGTTAAAATTTAGCTAAGACTGTGCTAATTGAGTCCTGACTGACAGTGTTAAAAATTCAGATTGTCCCAAAGTGAATCTGGTTTCCCTTTTGAAAACTTGTGTCAGAAGTCTAGTCTTAGAAATCCTAAGAGAATGTTTACTGAAAACACTCAGGAATAGGATAAACACAACTGCTCTGTGCTTTTATAATGCAGATATTCTGGATATGCTTTGCAAAACTGTATGCTAATTCCCTGAAGATTCATGGCCTAATGTCGCCTTTTTTGGAAGACTGTTACTCCATCACTTTCTTTAAAGCAAACCCATTTTTTACTCCTTCCATGGTAGCTGTGAACTTTTGTTGACCTGTAATTCTCTCTAGTTCATATGAGACACTGCATCATCTACCTGGGAAGCTTGTTCTGCCCATGCCCTGTCTATAACAAAGTGGTTGTTTTTCCCTTTTGAAAGGCTTTATTTGAGGATGACTATATCAGCCCCTGAAGCCTGGATTCTTCAGAAATTAAAAAAGATGTGAGGCCAACCATTCTCTTTCAAGATAAATAACACTGATCTTTTCAATTTGGATAAGCTATTTTAAATCTAAGGACGTTTAGGGTCACTTGTTTCTGTAGACCAAAATAAAAAAAAACATTAAAAATCACAACTCAAAACCTCCTTGCCCAGACTTCCCCAAATTTGTCACAGTCTAAGAGCAGACTTCTATGCCAAATCTGATGCTGATCCAAAGTCCATTTTCAAAGGGTTTTTTATTTTAATCTTACACATTCTTAGAATTGCCTTGTAGAATATATCTGTCTAGACTTTTCTATATTGGATTTGGAGGTTCCTTTTCTATTAATTTGTTGCTATGGATTCCATGAAAAGATGCTCCTGTTCAGTACAGTTGTCTTTCTTTTTTATCCTGTGCTTACCAGTAGTTTTTGTGTTAGTTTATCTCAAGTTGCCATTGCCCACACTCCCAAACAAACTGAGAAAACTGGAACTATGAACATTTTAATAGAAAGTAAAGCTTTATTCAGCTGAAATTAAATCAAGGAACTTTCTTGAAATATTTGTTAAAATTCATAAATTTTATTATCAATAAAACTTATTTAAACAAAGAAAAAAATAATCAACCAGATCTAACCTACTTAGCATCTGAAGTCAGTGTGTGTTCAGGGCAACATATTGTTTGCATTTATCTTTTTGAATAGCCAGGTGCTTTTTTGAAGCACCAGATGAAAGGTGCTTTCTTGAGGCTATAATATAGGATTAGATACTTTCGTTTCCACTTTATTTAGCCAAAAGCTGGAACATGAAGTCACTTGCCTCTGAAAAAAACTAATATTTGTGTAATGAGTGCTGTTTATTTATTTAGCATAGAGACTTTCAGACACTTGAAGTCCTTTTAAAAAGTTAATTTCATGTACATTTCAAAGATAATTTATTTGTTGGACTCCTGTATCCAATGCCTCTGATGGCCTTCTTTTACAAATTCTAGCCTTGCTAATAGTGTTCTTTACATCTTTCTGTCTCCTAACGTGCCCACACTTTCAGTGTTGATTGGTTCACACTTCAAGAACAATAACTGTGGTTGCAGCAACCCTTTTCAGTGCCATTATCCAGTGTGTGACTGAAGTTGGGCATGGCTGAGAACAGGCAGATTATATGCAAGTAGAAGAGAGCACTTAAAATGCAACTGCTCTCTTATAATTACCTAATTTTCTTCAATCTTTCTTTCACCTTTTCTCTGGGTAAAACAACATTTTAATCATTTTTACAAAGTTATCATAGCATCTTCATCTCCCTGATACAGAAAGAGGTAGTGGGATTTCTTATCACTGTATCAGAACTATGTTTCTGGGTATCAGATTAGCACCATCAGTATCTTTTTATTTATTTTATTTATTTTATTGGATTTCTACCCCACCCATCTAGAACAAAGGCTAATTTCTCTGTGATATATATGCTTTCTTCAGTGTTAGAAGATGGTCCCAATTGCTGCTTATATTCTGAACCATTCTGTTTTGCTTGAATAGCATCTCCATTTTACAATGGAAGCAAACTACTTTTCCCACACCCAATTCTGTTGTATAAGATTTCACTGTTCAAAAGGTACAAATTATAGTTGAATTTCCTGTGCCAGTAGATGGCAAACCCTGCTACAAAGGCCAAGTTGTGGACTGAGGCCAGCGAGGGCAAAGTTCAACCCTTCAGATGTTGGTAGCTTCACATCCCATGAGCTCTTGCCAGCAAAACCAATGGTAAAGGATGCTGGGAGTTGTAGTCTGATAACATCTGGAAGCATTTTATCCATCCTTGAATTGAGATCATGAAAGACCATGCAGAGCTGTGAAGCCACAGGAATTCTTGCCTTCAACAAAGGATTTTTTCCTGTTACTGCAAGGCTACTTCAGTTTATTTACTTATTCAAGTCATTAAGCTATCTAATCCAGGCTCACTGTTCTCATGTTCCTTGATTATAGGAACAATTTCCTGAGTCCTTTTCCCCACCAGGCTTCATGCCATAGCAATCACAACTGTTTTTTTGCAGAAACTGTTCTGAACAGGCATTTTAGATAACCTTTTGGGATGGGAACTCTGTAACAAGCACCAGACCAATTGCTTTACCCAGAGAATGTAATGAGAAAATGAACTAGTAAAATCTCCATCTTATGTGGACTTTTCTAACCGGATTTTGGGTTCCAGCTTAGAAGCATCTTCTTGGAATGTCTACTCAGTGCAATTTTAATATTCTTTCTGTCTCTCTCTTTTGTAGGTTAATATTCTACATAATGCCAACTCCAATGCTATGGAATATGTAAATCATATGGTAATGCAACCACAATTTCTCCAGTCCATCCATCACCCAGAGGAAAGCATAAATAATATTCATGGCTCAGGTATTAAACATGTTAAGACAATAAGAATTACTTTGCTGACTCAAACCAAAATCTTTCTAACCCAGCATTCTGTTTCTGGCTGCTACCAGCCAGATATTATTGAGCTTTCACAGGCAACACACACACACACACACACACACACACATTTCAAGTTTTGAAGAATGATTCTTTTGCAGCATTAAAACTGTGCAGGGGGTTTGGTTCCTGGTGAAAAGCAATTGCCACTTGTGGAGGCTTCCACAAGATGCCATTTGCTTTTTTTGTCACAAAGAGGATGGAGAGGATAGGGCTGCATGTAGCCTTAGGGCTCTGCTTTCTATCCCTGTTACACAGGAAACGTGGGATCCTCCAGATGTTGGATGGCAGCTCCCTTCAGCCTCAGCCAGCCTAGCCTATGGTGAGAGATTATAGGCATTGCAACATCTGGAGAAGGACACCTTCCTCATTCCTACCTCATAGAGCTCTCTTGTGTTATAAACACTGACAAACCCATCTTCCATTATTACTGGTGGTCTTACTCTTTAAGAAGTAAGTGTCCAAAAGAGTAAGAAGCCTCTCTTAGTGGGCAAGGAGGAATAAAGGCATTGGTAACTAGCCTCATGTTTATGTTTGTGCATGATAACTGGCCATATCTCTGGCATCCATGAACACATGAGCATCTGTAAGGAGAGAAGCATCATTAAACACAGAATTGTAGGAATGATGGCTTCTGTCCTATGGATATTTGCACTGCACAAGCAGATGCCAAGGATGGGTCAGTTGTGTATGGCCCCACATAGTTGATGGAATAAGTAAATGGGTGGGCTGCATATGCTCAAGGTGTGCCACTCTGTTAAGGGGAACTACACTGAGATGTTCCACACACAAGAGGTATTGCAAATATGGTGAAGTGGTATTAATTTTTGTCTATTTTGTACTATGGAGCATTATAGAGGGAAATCTATCCGATTTTGCTTTCTCTTCCCAGGGCTTTTGATAGCAAGACTGGATCTGCAATCCAAAGCAGAAAGTAATATTTCTACTGGAAACTGCTATTGAAATTTAATTGAACGGTAGAGTTAGCTTATTTCAGCTAAATTGAATATAATGGTGTAGTTAGCTTATTTCAGCAAAGGAACATCTGTATCTGTATAAATGGTATGGAAGGATATTTAATATTAATTTCATTTTTATTTCATTTCAGTACTTCCAAGTATTGCTACCATTGTCATAGTAGGATGTATCAGTATCCTAGTCTTCATCATAGTTCTGGGAGTATACAGAATTTGGATAGCTTACCATCACAGCTCAAAAGAAACTGAAAGCAGCAAAGAAAATGAAATGGACTGGGATGATTCAGCTCTCACCATTACTGTCAACCCCATGGAAGTAAGTAGCTAAGCCATGATCTCCTTGACAATTGACCAGTATGGCATTTTAATTGTGACTCATACAAATGCCTTTTTTCAGAAGTTGCTCTTCCTCAGCATTTACTAATCAATTGAATCAAGAAGCAGGCAGCGCTCAGTTGCCCTCACTTGTCTTCCTGAACTTGGAATGTTACAATGAAAGTTCTGCCAATGATGCTTGATTATGTACAGCTATATGAGGAAATGCACAACCATACAGTGCAAAATCTTGCACAGGCAGAGTTTCCAGGTCAGCTGTATCATTTATATTCATGCAGCTGTGCTTGAAAAAAAACATTACATTTAGGTATGGGATGGTGGCCATGTCAAGGCCTTGTTCATCGAAGGAAACTTCTGCAGAGAGTTAATTAGTTCCTTGAAAGAGCTAAGACTATGGAATCAAATGCAATACAGGTTTACCCAGTGGTGGATCAACCTCAACAATGAGGTCTGGGTAACCACTGTTATCTTCTTCATTGGGGTTGTTCCATGACAGATTACCATAATTATTTTTTTTAATGTGGACAAAAGCTATATCTGGGGCCCCTCTGGAATTAGGAGCCTTGAGGCTTAAGTTTCATTAGTTTTATAGTACATCTGCCCTATGAGTGCATGGCAGGGGCTTTTTTTCACCACAAATAATTTGCAAATTAACTTACCCTGTGCTGTGATTGGTCTTCAAGACTTAAGCACAGGTGTCCTTTGTAATCTGGTTTCTCAGTGACAAAAGAATCGTGGATCACCAACATCAGCATTTCATCTCTAATCATGGGACCCTTCTGCAACATCTTATTCCACACTTAGTTTGCCACCCATACCTTTTAAATTTCCCTCTTCCTCCCACCCCCATTTTAACCCATGAACTTGACACAATCAACGAGAAGTGGGAATCCTGCCTCCAAGCAGCTTGCATTTCCCTATAGAAAAGGCACTGCTCTATTGTTACTTCCCATGCTGACTAACACTAGAATGCCGTACATCTGAGAAAGCCAATGTTGTGCTTCAGTCCCTCACCTGGTTTGAGCGAAAAACAGCTGCACACCTCACCTCATGCTCCATTCAAACCATGGGGGGGGCAAGCACTTAGTGCTTGCTCTCACCTTATAATCAGCACATCTCAACATTTTCTATATACTTTTAAGCAGTTCCTCTTTGTATTTCTTTTACAAACTAGAAATATGAAGAACCTCATCATGCAGAAGAAGAAAGTGATGAGGAGGAAGAGGAAGTAGAAGATGAAGATGAAGATACAACTAGTGCCGAGTCAGATGAGAGTGAAGAGGAGGAAGATGAAGAGGAAGAAGCCATTGAAAATAATGGAAGGAAACATAATGTAATCAGGCAAGATCAGCTGGAGTGGGATGATTCAACACTAACCTACTAGAAACCCTTACTTCTATTGCTCCTTTTGTATACACCAATACTGTGTATTTCTGAGTCAGTCCTACTGAGTCAACCTCATCTTGGACTTATGAATTAATTAACAGGATTAAGCTCCCTTTTGACTACAGATGGTAGAACTGCATAGCCTGAATTTGATGCAGTTGTATCAAAGCTGCTCCAGAAAATTATTACTTTCCTAGTGTATGGGTAATGACACCTGGCAAAGCACAGGGTACAATCATTAATGTGTTACCCAGAATGACAACACCAACGTGATGCCATGTACTGCTTGCCACTTCTTCACTTCCTTGAAATCTTGCTATCTTCTAAACATGAATATGCAAAAATTCTGTTCACCAGAAGAGGCAGCACAGCTTGTTTGTAAGGATACAACTTGTGAGAGTCCAGATAGACATAAGCCTCTAGTGGGTTTCATTTGACTCTTTGTCTAGTTAAGAACCCTACTTTCAGAGGCAGACAAAGATGTAAGTGCTACCTGTTAAAAGGACAAAATTAATTTGTTCCCTTCCCGCTTTTCTGCCTTGTGGTTAATTGCCTTCTGCAGAGGAATTCAAAATACTTTGTACATGTGTGTTTGTGTGTTTTAAAGAATGGGTAATCTGTTTTTTTCCTAATGTTGAAAATTCAAATGGAAAAAATCTTGCCGAGTCCATCTACAGAAGAAACTCAGTTAATGCCATATAAAATCCCATAAACTGAAACTTTTGCTTATGATGATTTTTCAAAGCCCAGTGCTAAACAGATTAAGTAACGTTATCTCATGTGAAAAATAGTCTCAGTGGGGATATTATTTTTTGATAAGACTTGCATTTCAAATCTTTTTAGAAAATCTATTCGAGTAACTTGCATTGGAAGTCATTATTTGTTCCAGTATTGCATGGCAGCACTAATACCACAGATAGGCTCAGTTGGGATTTAGACAAGTGTTGCATCTATGAATCTAAACAAATATAGGTCAGCTTCAGGAAAACCTGCCCTCTTTCTCTCTCTGAGTGTTTTTTTTTAAGCCTTTAATTATTGCAGTTGGAATGAGTGTCTGGTATACTCTGTTTATTACTAAAATATATTCTAGTGCCAAGAATACAGTGCTCCAGATAAAAGTGAGCACAGAGTGGTCCTTTCTTTTAATTCTTCAACAAAAAATACTTTGGAAAATACAAGGGGAGATTATAATGCAAAATTCAAACACAGAAAAAAAAAGGTAGTAGAGTTTGGGAAAAATAGTTTATAATATAGGATAGGTTTGCATTTTTTTCCTCCTAACTGCTATATTCTAAATGTTGCTAAGATATTGATATGTCTGTGTGGGTTGTTATATTACTTATTTTTCATTTCTTCCTCCTTTCTCCCCCCCCCTTTCTTTTACAGCTCTAAAATTATATGAATACCAAATAGTGCAGTACTTGATGCTGTGCATGTTTTAAATACATAAAAACCAGGGTATTTGATGCAGAAGCAAAGAATGGTATTTCATAGATATGTATTAGTAATTTAATATTTCCCTAATATTATTGTGTTTGCTTTTGATGTGTTATCCCATCCGTGTTTGAGAGGAGTGATATTTCACCATCCTGTATCAAGGAAGCCTTGGTGTATAAAAAAATTCCTATGCTAGGATTAGAACAGTTTGTCGGTTTGGAAGATGAAAGGTTCTGCTGCCAGTTTTTCCTCTACACATAGATGTTAGTTTTGAGCAAAGGACATTGTAAATTGCCCTGTATATGGTAAACTTCTTTGTCCATCTAAACCAGGATTGTCTACCCTCACTGGCCTGGGCTGTCCAAGACAGGGGTCTTTTCTGTCAACTACTATTTTCATTTTAACTGGAGATGTCGGGAGTTGAATCTGGGACCATGTACGTGCATACCCTTTGTCCATAAGCTTTCAGGCTTGCATATGAGAAAGTAACAAACTGTCGTAGTACTTTGCAGACAAAAATGGACACAATGAGCATTTTGGGAATTACTGATGGATGTTTCATTTGGAAGACAGAAGGGTCTAAAGAAAATCCATTGGAGCAACTGCCTTTGCCTCATTTTGGCAGCTGCTCCATGCTTTGATCCGGATGAGATTAGATAAATCAACTCTGTCATACAGATGCTGTTCAAGCATCTAGGACTTAACAGATCTTTCTATCTGCGGATGAAGTCTGAAGCATATTAATGCAGAAAGAAGGGGTGCTTAAGTAGCTGTGGATGAATGGGGTTCCTTCTGCTTTTTGGTAACCTGTGTCCCAAAGTGAATAATTTGTACATTATTTAATAGGCACGTCTTAATTTAGGCTTACGAGAAGAAGCTGAAGTTAAGTAATTTTGTTTTAGTTTAGTAGTGTACATAACTTTTCTGTTATTTATACTTCCTAAAGCTGAACTGGATTTCAACAGAATGAAGAATACATTATTTTTTGTCATGAACAGAAGTTACAGGATTATAATTGAAATTAATAAGACCAAACGAAGCAGTCTAAAACAATGTAAAGGACTAGCACAGGATAAAATAGCACTGATTTGCAACTTTCTTTTCCCAATAGATAAATTAACATTTTTGCTAGAAGCTTGTTTACCCAAGGAATGCATTTGGGTTTCAACATTCAGAGGTTCACCATCAGTTAAATTCTATAGGCTTAAAAGTTATAGCTTTAATTGTTAAGGCTGTTAGTGTTAGAAAACAGAACCAGTCTCAAGGAACTGTGAAAAAGATTGTTCTAATGAAGAAGTTGAATGAAATTGATAAAGTTATTGGTTCAGTTTAAATATACAAGAGGTATACCCAAAATTTGTCGGTTGTGAGTTTCTTGTACTGTGCATATGACTTGAGTAATAATTTTTATTTAGTTCTTAGAGACTAATCTGTTCAGGTTATTCTGGTTCATTATAAAAGGACCTGAGGTGAAATGCTTTATTTTCTAAAGTAGAAATGTACAAAGGTTCTACATAAATGATCATAGCAATATGAAATTCTATTGTGGCTTTACAAAACTGTGTTCTGCACATTTTTCAAAATCTCACTAGAATTTTTTTTTACTAAAATCTGCACAATTTACATGATTCTTACATGTCAATCATATAAAGGCTATTATTTGCTATTGTAATCAATGTATTATTCTCATGCAGAATTTAACTGTAATCATTTGGGAACCATCTGCAAGAATTGTGCTAAATCCCCTCCCATCTCTTAGTATTATTTCAGTCAGTAAGCCTTTTGCTTCTTCAGATTTTCTTTTGGACATTTCCATTTTCAAAGTCATAGATGGGATCTTCAGGCTTAGAACTGTGAATTATTCTGTGACTGGGATACAAAATGAAGAAAATTGATGGTTGTTGTGGGTTTTTCGGGCTCTTTGGCCGTGTTCTGAAGGTTGTTCTTCCTCACGTTTTGCCAGTCTCTGTGGCCGGCATCTTCAGAGGAGAGCACAGAGTGCTGTCTTCTGAAGATGCCAGCCACAGAGACTGGAGAAACGTTAGGAAGAACAACCTTCAGAACATGGCCAAAGAGCCCAAAAAACCCACAACAACCATTAGATCCTGGCCGTGAAAGCCTTCGTGAATGTGATGAAAACTGACTTCAACCATGGGCACATTTGCTTAGACACATGAAAGCTTTTCATCCAGCAAATCCTTAGAACTGACCAGGGCTGTTCCATTCCTGCTGTGATGCCCATCTTCCCTGTACTGAAACTGCCTATTCTATACAGACACTTTCTTCAGAGAAAGTGAAAAGACAGATTTCTCTATGTTTTTGTTTTTTTTTTTTGGGGCAGAGTGTAAAATAAAATAGCCCTTGCAGTCAAAATTTCATGGCCAGAATCCTGTTGGTATTTACATGAAGTTTACATAGCTTGCCATGGCTAATTCAGAAGATGCTAGAACATATCTCGTGTTCATATTGGCAGGGCATAGCCAAGATGCTTCTGGCGCCTTGTCTGTTAGCTACATGTTACAAATGACAGGCAAATACTAATAGGATTCTGGCCCAAATCTTTGGATACATGTTATGGCTACCCCATTACAAGTTTTCGTTTTCAGAATACTAAAGAGAGAGAAAAAACCACAGTGAGGATTATTTTATTTTTTAATTATTCTAAGATTGCCATACAGGAAATAGTTTAAGGCAAACAACTTTTTCCCTCTGCTATAGATGCTCTGTCAGAATAAGTCAGCACTTTCATCCTTCATGGTTAGTCTTCTCTGAGCAAAATACCTAGTCTCATGATGACTGGTTCATCTTTCAGTTTCAATGACCTTCTCATGGCCTTCATATTGACATGTCAAGGACACCCCACCACATCCTCACACATTTTAGCAAGTACAGGTCTTAGCACTGGCCTTTTTAGATTCATGGCCTTGAAAGAAATAGATTTGAAGATTCTTTCATTTTAATGCATGCATTGCTGTGGCCCCCAAATGATTAAGTTCATTTACCCATGAAGCTGAACTCCATCTGCCAGTCTTTACCATGTGGACATTCATTCATCCTATTATCTCACTATCAGATCACACTGGCATGGATGAGGAGGGAGAGGAGCTGCTAGCTGCCTAGAGTGGTTGTTCAACTAGATAGGCAGGGTATAAATACAATAAATGAATAAATAAAAATAGTCACATACCCAGTGTGGGCCAGTAGGGTAAGAGATTCCTATGCTATTCCAAAACTGGCAACAAGTGAAACCTACACTGTTTTCTGGATGGGCATCAGCTTAGAACTCTTCTTCTGCATTTCCTCCTCAGTTGACACACACATACACACACATATACAGAGTTTGTACAGATTGTACACTTATCTTACCTTCCCCCAAGGACTGAGTGCAAATCACCTCCTCCTCCACCAGGAAGCAGCAGCAGAAGGGAAGTTAAGGGCTGATGTAAACTTGGATTACTTTAAGTTTCTTGGAAACATTTGTAAGTGTGTTCTTGTATATGTGTCATGAGGAGCATCATGTGTATTAAGTGCATGTCTCAGTGCATACAAAAACAGATTATTCAGTCATCTGTCAAGATGTAGCTCTTCTACTAGGGCAACTGACTGACAAATACAAGCATAGAAGTCATCTAGATGAGATTGAGTTAGAATAATAAGTTGGTCTCTGTGTCATCGGGTACAAAGGCTGCATGCTTTAAGAAAAAGTGAAGTATCACAAGGTCGGAAAACGAAGGAGCAATGTTTTTAGCAGGAGGCTTCATAGCATCTTTAGACCAGGTTTTTACCTCAGGACAAAGATAGATAAAATCAGTTAGGAACCCTTTCAACCTGAAGGTCCAATTAAAGTCATTACTTGGGGTCAAATTCCATTGATGGATGAGACCAAAATGACAACAGCTGGACCAAAATGCCAGCTTATTTTATTCCAAAATTCCTATTACTAGTAATAGGATTGCAAAGTCTTTGAGGATCACTCAGTGAGACTGTGACTACATGGTCAAATGCTGTGGGTTTGGTCCACTTATAAAAAGGGTGAATTTCAAGTATTTTTTACTGGCAACATGATGCTAAGTCTGATTTGAATTGGTCAAGCCCCTTTTGCTGCTATGGGCTCCCTACTTTTTCCAAGTGGGAATGATGTGTACAGGCTTTTCCCCATTTGGTTACTGGTGATACATTCTTGTAAAGATTTGTGTGTGTGTGTAACTAGTGTTTTGGTAATGTAGGCAGTTGAGATGTGATGTTCAGAACCAGGGAAACCAGCGTCTTCATTCTTTCATCTCCATGATCATTCTCTGTTTTTTTTTTTTAATATTATTTCTTAGATATATGAGATTAGCAATAGATCACCCGATCACCTTATTGCTGGGTCCTCATTACCATTATTGTCCACATTTACACCCCATAAAATGTTGGCAGAGGTGGATCAGAAAAAGAAGGAAGGATCGGCAGAGGTGGGACCAGAGGAAGTAAGGAAGTAAGGAGGCTTTGGACTGATATGTGAATCACATCACATCCACTATGAACACTATGAACTCCTGGATCTATCTGTATCCCCTTTGTGAGCAGTAACTGCAATTTCAAATGTAATATAGGCTGTGGACCATATCGCAGCAAAGCCAAATCACTCCAATTCAGCTTTCCAATGTAGTCACACCCTGAATTTGATATTTATGGTGATAAAGTTTGGGAATTCCCTGCTGAGCCTCCAGCTGAAGAACCACTGGTGTAGCTTTGGGCAAGCTGCACAGTTTCAGGGTGTCTCAAAAGAAGACAGGAAGGGTGAACCACTTTTAACTACTCTATACCTAGAAAACCCCAGAAAAGGATCTCCATAAGTCAGCATCATCTTGACAACATGTAATTTTTGTTATTAAACTTCAGACAAATAGTTTCAGTCTTTGAGCATGTGGACTAAACTGTACAAATATTGAGAAACCAGAAAGTGATGGTGTTGTAAGGAAGGACGTATGGCCATATGGAAAAGTCTAGAGGATCGCATTGGGACTGAAATTCTCTGTATCTGTTATACAGTATTTGCATCAGTGACATTTGATTAGTTCATGCTTCAATAATGATGTGTGCTTGGTAATTTTTTGTTCCAGTTACTGCTGTGTTGACTAATATTTGCCTATAACTTTATATTTATAGATCCCTACTAAGCACTAGCCTAGGTTTGAAGCCTTTCAAATCCAGCAGTTTCCAAGTAACTCCACTTCTATTTGGGAATAACAGGAATTTTATGACGCGAAGCTCAGTACTGTGTCTGATATTTTAATTAACAATCATTCAGAACTGAAATCACTGGTTGTAAGAGTCATTTTCATAGTAGTGCAGAGGACTGCAATCTTATCTGCAACAACAACAACAAAAAGTCTGCTTCTTGGGATTACACAGATTAAATTGCCCTGGGAACTGAAAGGACTGTGCACCATTGAAGTAATATAAAAAAAAAAAGAAACAAAAAACCCCAAAAATGTTATGTCTGCTTAAAGACTGTTATATTTTAATGTGCATCCTGTTTTTGTTTTTGTTTTTATTTTTTTGTCTGGATATGGTTGCACAAATTAAAATGACTACTTTCGTGTAAACTGCAGCTATCAAGATATGGGTAAACTTTTTGTACATGCATGCAGCTCATCCTTTCTTCCCCTTGCAGGATGAGCAATCAAGTTTAGGAAGTCTCTGGTTAACTAGAGTTTTCTGTTTCATGTGAACCAGAAAGCAAGGGTTACCAGCTGGCAGCTTCAGGACAAGCCAGCTTCAAACCATAATTTATTATCTTGTCTGTTTCCAAAGCTGGTAAACATCATTTGCAATTGAGAAGTTCTGAGGAGCTGTGCTTAATAATTAGAGGGCTCCTGATTTCATTATTCACACTACTAACAAAGAACAAAAGGGCCTCTAAATGCAGGCAAAAGTCTTATTCATAGATCAGTGTATTAAACTCACTCATGTAACAGCTGACATCAGCTTATTAAAGATCAGATCATCTGAACTGGGCCTGCATGTAGCTGCTGATTAGATTAATTATATATATGTGTGTGACTTGTTGTCTGTTCATTGAAAATGACAATATAATGCTCAAAGCACAATTTAATTTTCATGTAGCCAATTTTCAACAGTCTAGCTTGAGGGAAAGGAACCAAGTGTAGTAAATCTTGATGTCTGCCACATGATTAACATCTCAATTTTTGTGATTAATGTTTGCTCTGCCTTTCTGAGTTGCTTTTCTTCCCCTCCAGTGTTGCGTTTGCTGTTTTTCTGCTTTCTTGCTCAGATACTTCTTCACCAGCAACAGATGGCAAATATTCCTTGGACAGGAATAAAGGTGTCATAGCCA